TCAATTCCCATTTTGAATTTGATTCCCCAAAATTTAATCCCACCCCTCTCCCGGACACCCTAGCATTTACTTCCTTTACAACCCCATCTATAAATATATTAAACAACCATGGTGACATTACACATCCCTGTCTAAGACCTACTTTTACCGGGAAGTAGTCTCCCTCTCTTCTACACACCCTAACCTGAGCCTCACTATCCTCATAAAAACTCTTTACAGCATTTAATAACTTACCACCTATTCCATATACTTGCAACATCTGCCACATTGCTCCTCTATCCACTCTATCATATGCCTTTTCTAAATCCATAAATGCAATAAAAACTTCCCTACCTTTATCTAAATACTGTTCACATATATGCTTCAATGTAAACACTTGATCTACACATCCCCTACCCACTCTGAAACCTCCTTGCTCATCCGCAATCCTACATTCTGTCTTACCTCTAATTCTTTCAATTATAACCCTACCGTACACTTTTCCTGGTATACTCAGTAAACTTATTCCTCTATAATTTTTACAGTCTCTTTTGTCCCCTTTCCCTTTATATAAAGGGACTATACATGCTCTCCGCCAATCCCTAGGAACCTTCCCCTCTTTCATACATTTATTAAACAAAAGTACCAACCACTCCAACACTATATCCCCCCCTGCTTTTAATACTTCTGTCATGATCCCATCAGTTCCAGCTGCTTTACCTTCTTTCATTTTACGTAATGCCTCACGTACCTCCCCCACACTTACATTCTGCTCTTCTTCACTCCTAAAAGATGGTATACCTCCCTGACCAGTGCATGAAATTACTGCCTCTGTTTCTTCCTTAACATTTAAAAGTTCCTCAAAATATTCTCGCCATCTACCTAATACCTCCATCTCCCCATCTACTAACTCCCCTACTCTGTTTTTAATTGACAAATCCATACTTTCCCTAGGCTTTCTTAACTTGTTTAACTCACTCCAAAATTTTTTCTTATTTTCATTAAAATTTCTTGACAGTGCCTCTCCCACTCTATCATCTGCTCTCCTTTTGCACTCTCTCACCACTCTCTTTACCTTTCTTTTACTCTCCATATACTCTGCTCTTCTTATAACACTTCTGCTTTGTAAAAACCTCTCATAAGCTACCTTTTTCTCTTTTATCACACCCTTTACTTCATCATTCCACCAATCACTCCTCTTTCCTCCTGCCCCCACCCTCCTATAACCACAAACTTCTGCCCCACATTCTAATACTGCATTTTTAAAACTATTCCAACCCTCTTCAACCCCCCCACTACTCATCTTTACACTAGCCCACCTTTCTGTCAATAGTCGCTTATATCTCACCCGAACTTCCTCCTCCCTTAGTTTATACACTTTCACCTCCCTCTTACTTGTTGTTGCCACCTTCCTCTTTTCCCATCTACCTCTTACTCTAACTGTAGCTACAACTAAATAATGATCCGATATATCAGTTGCCCCTCTATAAACATGTATATCCTGGAGCCTACCCATCAACCTTTTATCCACCAATACATAATCTAATAAACTACTTTCATTACGTGCTACATCATACCTTGTATATTTATTTATCCTCTTTTTCATAAAATATGTATTACTTATTAACAAATCTCTTTCTATACATAGCTCAATTAAAGGCTCCCCATTTACATTTACCCCTGGCACCCCAAATTTACCTACTACTCCCTCCATAACATTTTTACCCACTTTAGCATTGAAATCCCCACCCACCATTACTCTCACACTTGATTCAAAACTCCCCACGCATTCACTCAACATTTCCCAAAATCTCTCTCTCTCCTCTACACTTCTCTCTTCTCCATGTATGTTATTAAATACCACTGCCTCAACTGCTGCCTCGCCCGCTGCCTCGCCCGCTGCCTCGCCCGCTGCCTCGCCCGCTGCCTCGCCCGCTGCCTCGCCCGCTGCCTCGCCCGCTGCCTCGCCCGCTGCCTCGACCGCTGCCTCGCCCGCTGCCTCAACCGCTGCCTCAACCCCTGCCTCAACCCCTGCCTCAACCCCTGCCTCAACCCCTGCCTCAACCCCTGCCTCTACCCCTGCCTCTACCCCTGCCTCTATCCCTGCCTCTACCCCTGCCTCTACCCCTGCCTCTACCCCTGCCTCTACCCCTGCCTCTACCCCTGCCTCTACCCCTGCCTCTACCCCTGCCTCTACCCCTGCCTCTACCCCTGCCTCTACCACTGCCTCTACCACTGCCTCTACCACTGCCTCTACCACTGCCTCTACCACTGCCTCTACCACTGCCTCTACCACTGCCTCTACCACTGCCTCTACCACTGCCTCTACCACTGCCTCTACCACTGCCTCTACCACTGCCTCTACCACTGCCTCTACCACTCCAGTCACACTCCATCTACAAGCACCAAACACAGTGAATTATTGTGAAATGTTTGGAAGAGCATGAAGACTAATGCTCACTCCAGCATAAACAAAGCCACACTGACAATGTGTCTACCACTCCCTTGTATTTTTGTACAATTTCCTTCAATTCTATCGTATTTATTATTATTATTATTATTATTATTATTATTATTATTATTATTATTATCAGTAGCAGAAATGTTTGATTCTTTGCTGTGTTCAACAGTCAACACATGATGCCACCGTCCAATACCTGTTCAAATAGCCATTCCAATATGCAGTCATGAATGGGTTTACATTATTTATACTGTAGTTTAATAGCAAATAATGAACAAACAAAACACTCACCACACAGTGGTGGGAGGGCTGGCTGCCAGTTGCAGGGGTCGGAGGGAGGGTAGTATGGACTCGCAGGTGGTGGGAAACTTAAATATGATTTGGCAGCTAGGAATTTGGTGGCTGGGAATTTGGCAGTTGGGAATTTGGCGGTTGGGAATTCGCAAATGTGTGAAGCCCGCAAAAGTTGAAAACGCGAATGTTGGGGGAAACCTGTACTAATGATTACTGGAAGACATTCGTCTCCTGCTCCAGTGGCATCATGCACTATAATGAAAACAAAGAAATACTGTAAGACAATTTTAAACGACAAGTGGCAATTAAAAAAAAAGAAACGAGGATGCAAAATTTTGAAAGGAATATACGTAGTTAAGTTTCTTGCAAACATTAATAAAGAAAATATGTATACTATTTTAATAGAAAACTGGCTTATGTCAAATGAAGCCACTAAGAGAATGCAACCCATTGTGTAATTATATATACTATATCTATTCTTTTTTTTACTGATTTATGTTTTCACTCCCTTCAAATTCAACCTTATAGTCATCCTCTGTACATCAATTTTATTCTGAATCAGTTCCTCTGGCTATGCAGTATCTCTGAATTTATTTATTCCTCACTATATCCAGTCCACAAGTATTTTTCAAATATTCCTCTTCCCTTCTTATATCTGAGCTATCATGTTTCACCACTGAACAAATTATGTGGATTGTACAACCTGGTTTCTAAAGACTGAATCTCACCATATATACTATAGGCTCCATTAGTTTCTTGTATTAACATACCGGCCATATATTTTCTTAAATTTTCGTTTTCTATTCATGCCGCTTCTGTATGTACAGAACAACTGAAAACTTTCATCTTTTCCCTTATGTTTGTGAAACAAAACTTTACTGTGTCCCCAACATTTTACACCTGTGCTCTCATTTCTCTTCTATTTATATTTACAAGAATAGTATCTCATTTTTCTCTTCCTCTTTAAATATCTCATATTTCCCTATAATATTACACACTTCCGTTTTAATGAAGAAATTTTATGGGAAAGATGTTGTATAACCAACAAGTTTATAAAATGACACTATAATAGAATGGAAAAAGGTTTCCATTTTGGCAGTCAATTTCATAAAATACTATACAGACTACAATCTCAAATTATAATTTCAGATTCATCTTTGAGAAGATGCCAAACCAATTTTTTTATGTTTTTTTTTTTTAACACTAGCCTTCTCCCAGCTAGGGAGGGTGACCCAAAAAAGAAACACTTGTACCATCATTCCCTCTACCACTGTCTTGCCAGAGGCAATCAGATACAACAGTTTAGATGTCACTCTAATCAGGAAATATCCTAAATGTCACATTTAAAATACAAGCACTGTACTCACCACCTCAAGGATTCAAGTCTTGGTAACCAGTTTTCCTGAATCCCTTCACTTTTTTTTTTTTTTTTTACAAATTCAAATACTGTACAAATAAATCAAATGCAATATAAGAGGTAATGCACAATGTTGATGAAAAAAAACACATCTCACAAAGTAAACTGAATAAGGATCCTCTGATTCCATGGCTATTTGGATCAGTAATCTAAACTGCGATACACTAATCCGGCTTCAGTACGTATCACCGGTTATAATTCTTACAAACAGCTGAATAATAGTAAAAACCAATAGTGAACGAGTATTTACAGTCTTCAGCTGATCGACCATTACTGATGCTGCTAACTTGAAGCCACTCACTGTGTCACTGGTCCACTGACCCAGTGACTGTGCTACCTGCTCTGGCCCAGGACACTTGTACGTTTCACTCCACCGTATCAGCTCATCCTTTGAACTCTACCATTAAAACACACAACATGACAGTGAACATGCAGAGTAATATAAACTATAAGAAAGACCTTAAAAAGAAAAGAAAAACTATTTCTGATAATTTTAAGATATTAGTAGGTATTTGTAGTGTGACTATTATCTAGAGAAAAAGCAGTATAATTTCAATATTTAACTAAAACCAATAAGTGCATCCATACAGACACTGAAGCTTATGGCAGTGTCAACGTTTACAAGATAATAAACACTATTTTATTTATTTATTAACACATCGGCCGTCTCCCACTAAGGCAGGGTGGCCCGAAAGAGAAAAACTTTCATCATCATTCACTCCATCACTGTCTTGCCAGAGGTGCGCTTACACTACAGTTATAAAACTGCAACATTAACACCCTGTATAAAAAAAAAAGAAAAAGCTTTGAATGACTGACTTAAACAAAGACGACCATTACTGTACTTACTAGAAATGGCAATTTACGGAAAACAGAAGGACGTGAAGACATTTTGGCAGTATAGGGATTCATCACTTGGATGCCAACTAAAGAGAAAAGGTCGGCAAGCATGGCCGACTTGATTTTCAAGTCCAGAGGCTGGTCAATGTTGAGGGATGGAGATAAATTGACTTCCAGCACCCAGGGTTTTAACTGACTGTCAATTAAAATGTCAAACCCATATAACTCTGAAATAAAGGACAGATAGTTTCAAACACAGCACAAGTGTCTCAGGAGATACACAGGACCTGGATTTTATGAAGAATGCACAAGTCATGAATGAAAATAATATTAACAAATTTATTTTGTGAATTACTATACATATCAACTCTCTTCTAGTTATTTCCATCTTTTTCCTGACTTTTTCATCTATATTAAGCCTGCATTTTTTAATCAATTTTAAATCCCTTGGAAATTTACACATCTATATGGAAATAAGTATTTACACATCTATATGGAAATAAGTATTTACACATCTATATGGAAATAAGTATTTACACATCTATATGGAAATAAGTATTTACACATCTATATGGAAATAAGTATTTACACATCTATAGGGAAAATAAGTATTTACACATCTATATGGAAATAAGTATTTACACATCTATATGGGAAATAAGTATTTACACATCTATATGGAAATAAGTATTTACACATCTATATGGAAATAAGTATTTACACATCTATATGGAAATAAGTATACATGTAAGAATATGAACTAAATGAAAAAAATCTGGTTTCTCCTTTAACAGTTATATAACATTCAAATTGAGAGTCAAAGGAAAAGCAAGGTACAATACTATCTCCACTCCTTTAGCTATTGAGCAACTTATATGATGAAGAACATATGACTTTTCTTTACAAAAAGTACCAGTTTAAGCTTAGGTAAACTGAAACAAAAGTACCTATTGAGGTTTTCATTGGAATTCAGCTATCAAAAGAATTGCCATAGTGCTTATTGACAGAATATTTATGAACATTGTATGTCTGTGGTATAACTGCAGGGACAAGTATATACTGTATATGAATTCAGAATGGCTGTGTTTAAAAGGGAATTTAATGCCAATGCTAAATAAGTTCTTGAATATTTAAATGATGTCCAAGAATTTTTAGGTCAGACTTTATATGGTCCACTCAGTAGATACTAATTACTCACCAAAGCAGTTGCGAGTGTGTGGAACAAACATGTTGGTTGCAGTATTCATCTGATAGGATGCAGCAAGCAAAGATTTGATGATTACATCTTCAATAGACCGCATCAGAGCACCAGTATCAATTCCTTGACTCTTCAAGTGCCGTAGAAAAGCACTCAGAGACCATTTGTTTCCTTGGTCGTCCACCTCTGGATCTTCATTTCTTTTAGTATTGAAAAGAGAAAGGATAACTTAAATTAAAATAATAATAGGTAGTAGGTTGGTAGACAGCAACCACCCAGGGAAGTACTACCGTCCTGCCAGATGACTGTGAAACAAAAACCTGTAACTGTTTGCATGATGGTAGGATTGCTGGTTTCTTTTTCTGTCTCATAAACACGCTAAGATAACAGGGATATCTTGCTACTCCTACTTACACTTTGGTCACACTTCACAGACACGCACATGCATATATATATATACATACATCTAGGTTTTTCTCCTTTTTCTAAATAGCTCTTGTTCTTTTTTATTTCTTCTATTGTCCATGGGGAAGTGGAAAAGAATCTTTCCTCCGTAAGCCATGCGTGTCGTATGAGGGACTAAAATGCCGGGAGAAATTTGGGCTAGAAAACCCTTCTCCTGTATACAATTACTAAAAAAGAAGAGAAGAAAAACTTTATAAAACTGGGTTGCTTAAATGTGCGGGGGTGTAGTGCGGATGACAAGAAAACAGATGATTGCTGATGTTATGAATGAAAAGAAGTTGGATGTCCTGGCCCTAAGCGAAACAAAGCTAAAGGGGGGGTAGGAGAGTTTTCAGTGGGGGGAAAAAATGGGATTAAATCTGGAGTATCTGAGAGAGTTAGAGCAAAGGAAGGGGTAGCAGTAATGTTAAATGATCAGTTATGGAAGGAGAAAAGAGAAATGAATGTGTAAATTCAAGAATTATGTGGATTAAAGTAAAGGTTGGATGCGAGAAGTGGGTCATAATAAGCGTGTATGCCCCTGGAGAAGAGAGGAATGCAGAGGAGGAGAGAGATTTTGGGAGATGTTAAGTGAATGTATAGGACCCTTTGAACCAAGTGAGAGAGTAATTGTGGTAGGGGACTTGAATGCTAAAGTAGGAGAAACTTTTAGAGGGGGGTGTGGTAGGTAAGTTTGGGGTGCCAGGTGTAAATGATAATGGGAGCCCTTTGATTGAACTTTGTATAGAAAGGGGTTTAGTTATAGGTAATACATATTTTAAGGGAAAAAAAGGATAAATAAGTATACAAAGATATGATGTAGGGCGAAATGACAGTAGTTTGTTGGATTTGTATTGGTAGATAAAAGACTGTTGAGTAGGACTTCAGGATGTACATGTTTATAGAGGGGCCACAGATATACAGATCACTTTTTAGTTGTAGCTACACTGAGAGTAAAAGGTAGATGGGATACAAGGAGAAGAAGCATCAGGGAAGAGAGGGTGAAGGTTTTTTAAACTAAAAGAGGAGGAGTTAGGGTAAGATATAAACAGCTATTGGGGGATAGATTTGGGCTAATGAGAGCATAGGCAATGGGGTCGAAGAGGTTGGGGTAGGTTTAAAAATGTAGTGTTAGAGTGTTCAGCAGAAGTTTGTGGTTACAGGAAAGTGGGTGCAGGAGGGAAGAGGAGCGATTGGTGGAATGATGATGTAAAGAGAGTAGTAAGGGAGAAAGTTAGCATATGAGAAGTTTTTACAAAGTAGAGTGATGCAGGAGGGAAGAGTATATGGGGGGAAAAGAGGAAAAGTTAAGAGAGTGGTGAAGCAATGTAAAAAGAGAGCAAATGAGAGAGTGGGTGAGATGTTATCAACAATTTTGTTGAAAATAAGAAAAAGTTTTGGAGTGAGATTAACAAGTTAAGAAAGCCTAGAGAACAAATGGATTTGTCAGTTAAAATAGGAGAGGAGAGTTATTAAATGGAGGGGTTAGAGGTATTGGAAGATGGAAGGAATATTTTGAGGAATTGTTAAATGTTGATGAAGATAGGGGAAGCTGTGATTTCGTGTATAGGGCAAGGGGGAATAACTTCTTGTAGGAGTGAGGAAGAGCCAGTTGTGAGTGTGGGGGAAGTTCGTGAGGCAGTAGGTAAAATGAAAGGGGGTAAGGCAGCCGGGATTGATGGGTTAAAGATAGAAATGTTAAAAGCAGGTGGGGATATAGTTTTGGAGTGGTTGGTGCAATTTTTTAAAATAAATGTATGGAAGAAGGAAAGGTACCTAGGGTTTTGGCAGAGAGCATGCATAGTTCCTTTGTATAAAGGGCAAAGGGGATAAAAGAGAGTGCAAAAAATTATAGGGGGATAAGTCTGTTGAGTGTACCTGGTAAAGTGTATGGTAGAGTTATAATTGAAAGAATTAAGAGTAAGACGGAGAATAGGATAGCAGATGAACAAGGAGGCTTTAGGAAAGGTAGGGGGTGTGTGGACCAGGTGTTTACAGTGAAAACATATAAGTGAACAGTATTTAGATAAGGCTAAAGAGGGCTTTTTGGCATTTATGGATTTGGAAAAGGCGTATGACAGGGTGGATAGGGGGGGGAATGTGGCAGATGTTGCAAGTGTATGGTGGAGGAGGTAGGTTACTGAAAGCAGCGAAGAGTTTTTACGAGGATAGTGAGGCTTTAAGTTAGAGTATGTAGGAAAGAGGGAAATTTTTTCCCCGTAAAAGTAGGCCTTAGACAAGGAGTTTTTGATGTCACCGTGGTTGTTTAATATATTTATAGATGGGGTTGTAAGAGAAGTAAATGCGAGGGTCTTGGCAAGAGGCGTGGAGTTAAAAGATAAAGAATCACACACAAAGTGGGAGTTGTCACAGCTGCTCTTTGCTGATGACACTGTGCTCTTGGGAGAAATTTTGAAGAGAAGTTGCAGAGATTGGTGGATGAATTTGGTAGGGTGTGCAAAAGAAGGGAAAATTAAAGGTGAATACAGGAAAGAGTAAGGTTTTGAGGGATAACAAAAAGATTTGGTGATGAAAGATTGAATATCAGATTGGGGGAGGGAAAATGGAGGGGTGAACGTATTCAGTTTTTGGGATGGACGTGTCAGCGATGGGTCTTGAAAAGATGAGGTGAATCATAGAATTGATGGGGGGAAAAAGAGTGAGTGGTGCACTTAGGGGGGGGGTCTGTGGAGACAAAGAACTTTGTCCTTTGGGGGGCAAAGGGGGGAAAGTATGAGAGATAGTTTTACCAACGCTCTTATATGGGTGTTAAGGTGGGTGATGAAAGTTGAGCGGAGGGGAAAAGGGTGGAGGCAGTGGAGATGTCATGTCTGAGGGGAATGTTGTGGTGGAATTAAAGCAGAGAATTCGTAGTTTGGAAGTTAGGGGAGGTGCGGGATTACCAAAACTGTTGTCCGAGGGCTGAGGAAGGGTTGTTGGGTGGTTTGGGGCATGTAGAGAGAATGGAGCGAAAAAGAATGACCAAGAGTGTTCAGTCTGTAGGGAAGGAAGGCGGGGTGGGGTCGGCCCAGGAAGGGGTTTGGGAAAGGGGGGGGGTTTTAAAAGGGGGTTTTGTGTGCGAGGGGCTTGGACTTCACGGCCCCGTGAGGTGTTTGATAGGATGAATGGAACAAATGGTTTTTTAATACTTTTAGTGTGTTGGAGTGTGAGCAAAATACATTATGAAGGGGTTCAGGGAAAACCGGGAGGCCCGGGTTGGTCCTGGAGATGGGGGGTCAGTGCCCGCAGAAGGAGGGGTGTTAATGTTGCAGTTTAAAAACTGTAGTGTAAAGCACCCTTCTTGGGAAGACAGTGATGGAGTGAAAAGAGGGGTGAAATTTTTTTTTTCTTTTTTTGGGGCCCACCCTGCCTTGGGGGGAATCGGCCCGGGGTAATAAAAAAAAAAAACAACAAGGGATTTGATATTAATATTCCCAATGTTCATACAAAATTTTACAAAAGTTCTTAACTTTCCTCAATTCCAACTTCCTAGGAAAAAAGGAGCAAGAGCATCATGATAAAACATATACTGTCAGTATTAAATTCAATCACCCAAAAATATTTATTGACATCAGCCCCATTAAGACAAAATTTTAAAAAACAGTATTGATAATGGTGATGTCACCATGAGGGAGGTGGGGTACAGTGCTGTACCCCAAAAGGGGGAGTTTTTTAGATATTTGCGTTTGGAGGGGCATCTAAAATTGGTACCAAGGACCTCTGGCAAGACAATATGTATGAATGATCAGGGAAAATGTTTCTTTTTTGGGCATCCTCCCTTAGTAGGAACAGCGGGATGTGGGAAAAAAAAATTTAAGTATGGATAAAATTCACATGTTTACTCTTAAAGTGTCTGATTTTTCAGGTTAAGACCAAGGGGATGATGTACATAAAGGAAATTTTTCAAACCTGAGCCATATGGTAGTCAAAGAAAGAAGGATACACAAAAAATGTGTTAAACATTTCGTTGTACTTAGTTCCAAGACATTGGCACTGTCATCTTGGGAAAACTATCAATTTTTTAATTCCAAAACAGTTTTGAAAATTTAAAACGGGATTTATCATATGAAATCTAAGTATAAAAAATTTACTATAAATATATTTACTATTTGTCTCAATACAAAAAAAAAAAATTTTCTAAAAATCACCCAAAAAACTAATCTTTAATGCCAAAACAGTTAAAATTTTATACTTACTGAACAAAATTTGAATGGAATTTGTTGACCGAGTAATTAGTGAGGTAAATGCAGGGGTTCCAAAATTTTTGCCTGTTGTATTTGACGGTTGCCGGGGCCCCCAAGCCTTCCCTAGAGATAATACAAGTGGATCCGGGGATGTCACACCAACTATAACCTGAGTCACACTTGTCCCCACCCACAAGCAGGGGCGATTCAAGTAGCGGCACAAAAAGGAAAGTCTCGTCTGCGGGAAACCTGATCCCCTTTAAAATATGAAATTTAAAATTAAGCAGCGAAAATACCAAATTTTTTTTTAACACTCCGATTTTTCCACCAAGGGGGTGACCCAAAAAAAAAAAAAAACAAAAGTTTTTTTCTTTACATTTAGTAATTTATGCGGGGGAGAAGGGGTTACTACCCCCTTGTTTGGCATTTTAATCGCCTCTTACGACACGCATGGCTTAGGGGGGGGATTCTTCTCCCCCTTCCCCAGAGTAATAATAAAATACAAAAGAAATTTACACGTGGGTAACAGGGATATCTTGCACTTTCTCTTCACTTGAGTCACGCTACAATGCATGTGCTGCTTATACATATATATATACACACACACACACCCCCCCAGTTTTCCCCACTTTTGACAGGGTCCCACTTTAGGACTATTGAGGAAAATTAAAACACTGGAATAGGGGGAGAAATTTTTTTTCCCGGATAGAGGCTGGTTGACAAATAGGCACAGAGAGTTTGCATAAATGGGGAAAAAAATAGAGTGGGGAAGCGTCACGAGCGGTTTCCCAGGGGTCAGTTTGGGCCCCCCGCTGTTACAATCCATAAACGACTAGATGAGGGCATAAAGAGCGACATGGGAAGTTTGCCGATGAAACCAAATAGGCCGCGAATTCATTCTGCGAGGACATTCGAGCACTCCAGGAAGATTTGAATAGACTGATGCAGTGGTCGGAGAAGTGGCAGATGCAGTTTAATATAGACAAATGCAAAGTTCTAAATGTTGGACAGGACAATAACCATGCCACATATAAACTAAATAATGTAGATCTTAATATTACGGATTGCGAAAAAAGATTTAGGAGTTCTGGTTAGCAGTAATTGGAAACCAAGACAACAGTGCATAAGTGTTCGAAATTTAAAGCTAATAGAATCCTTGGCTTCTATCAAGAAGCATAAATAATAGGAGTCCTCAGGTTGTTCTTCAACTCTATACACCCTTTGGGTTTTAGGCCTCATTTAGATTATGCTGCACATTTTTGGTTTCACCGTATTAAAGAATGGATATAAATTCTCTGGAAAAATGTACAAAGGAGGATGACAAAGTGATCCCATGTATCAGAAAACCTTTCCCCCTTGGGATAGACTAAGGGCCCCTGAAACTGCACTCTCTAGAAAGACGTAGAATTAGGGGGGATTATGATTGAGGTGTTAAATGGAAGATGGAATAAATAAAGGGGATGTAAATAGTTGCTGAAAATATCTAGCCTAGACAGGACTCGCAGCAAGGTTTTTTAAATTGGAAAAATTCAGATTCAGAAGGATATAGGAAAATACTGGTTTGGTAATAGAGTTTGGGATGAGTGGAACAAACTCCCGAGTACAGTTATAGAGGCCAGAAGTTGTGTAGCTTTAAAAATAGGTTGGATAAAAAACACTGAGTAGATGTGGGTGGGTGTGAGTTAGACCTGATAGCTTGTGCTAACAGGTCGGTTGCCGTGTTCCTCCCTTAAGTCAATGTGACCTGACCTGACTAGGTTGGGTGCATTGGCTTAAGCCGGTAGGAGACTTGGACCTGCCTCGCATGGGCCAGTAGGCCTTCTGCAGTGTTCCTTCGTTCTTATGTTCTTATGTTCTTTATTTCCTCTTATCTCCATGGGGAGGTGCAAAAGAATTCTTCCTCTGTAAGCCATGTGTGTCATAAGAGGCGACTAAAATGCTGGGAGCAAGAGGCTAGTAACCCCTTCTCCTATATTTATTACCAAAGTTAAAAAGAAAAACCTTCGTTTTTCTTTTTGGGCCACCCTGGTTCGGTGGGATACAGCCGGTCTGTTGAAAGAAGATCAAACATCGAACAGAATTAATAATGCTAAGGAAACCAAAACCAATACATAAACATAGCACAGGAATTTTTTTTTTTCTCAACAAGTCGGCCGTCTCCCACTGAGGCAGTGTGGCCCAAAAAGAAAGAAAATCCCCAAAAAGAAAGTACTTTCATAATCATTCAACACTTTCACCTCACTCGTACATAATCACTGTCTTTGCAGAGGCACCCAGATACAACAGTTTAGAAGCATATATAAAGATATATAGCACATCCCTCCAAACTGCCAATATCCCAAACCCCTCCTTTAAAGTGCAGGCACTGTACTTTACATTTCCAGTACTCAAGTCAGGCTATATATTAAAATAACCGGTTTCCCGGAATCCTTTCACTAAATATTACCCTGCTCACACTCCAACAGCTTGTCAGGTCCCAAAACCCATCCATCTCCATTCACTCCTATCTAACATGCTCATGCACGCTTCCTAGAAGTCCAAGCCCCTCGCCCACGAAACCTCCTTTACCCCCTCCCTCCAACCTTTTCAGAGATGACCCCTACCCCGCCTTCCTTCCCCTACAGATTTATACACTCTCCGAGTCATTCTACTTTGGTCCATTCTCTCTAAATGACCAAGCACCCTTAACAACCCCTCTTCAGCACTCTAATTAATACTCTTATTAACTCCACACCTACTCCTAATTTCCACACTCCGAATTCTCTGCATAATATTTACACCACACATTGCCCTTAGACAGGACATCTCCACTGCCTCCAGCTGCCTCCTCGCCACATCATTTACAACCCAAGCTTCACACCCATATAAGAGTGTTGGTACCACTATACTTTTGTACATTCCCTTCTTTGCCTCCATGTATAATGCTTTTTGTCTCCACAAATACCTCAATGCACCACCCACCTTTTTTCCTTCATCAATTCTATGATTAACCTATCTTTCATAAACCCATCCACTGACACATCAACTCCCAAATATCTGAAAACATTCACTTCTTCCATGCTCCCTCTCTCAAATGTGATATCCAGTTTTTCTTTATCTAAATCGTTTGATACCCTCATCACCTTACTCTTATCTATGTTCACTTCCAACTTTCTAACTTTACACACCCTCCCAAACTCGTCCACTAACCTTTGCAACTTTTCTTGAGAATCTCCCACAAGCACAGTATCATCAACAAAAAGTAACTGTGTCAACTCCCATTTTGTATTTGATTCCCCATAATTTAATCCCACCCCTCTCCTCAACACCCTAGCATTTACTTCTTTCACAACCCCATCTGTAAATATGTTAAACAACCATGGTGACATTACACATCCCTGTCTAAGACCTACTTTTACTGGGAAGTAATCTTCCTCTCTCCTACACACCCTAACCTGAGTTTGCCATCCTCATAAAAACTCTTTACAGCATTTAGTAACTTACTGCACAGGAACTATCCACACTATAATCTCAACATTTAACTATTCATGAATAACATTAATAAGAAGCAAAAAAGATAATCTTTAAAAATATAATATATTCTGGGGAAATCTAAAATAAAAGTGATTATATACAATACCGTACAGTACATAACGAAAAAAAACTTACTTGACTGACCAAGTATATTCCCTTGCCCTGTGACGAGGCCACTGGCTTAACAATCCAAGTTCCACGTTCACGTAAGTGAGTATCACAGAAATCCCTATATTCTGTAGGGAGAATAAAGCTGGTAGGAATAAAATCGAAGAGCTTGACACCAAATTGCCTTTGCATTCGTTTGATGTTCATGTATAAGCGATCTTTTCTTGTTAGCTCTGAAGACCTAGAAGAATATTTTGAATTAATTTTTATTACATAAAGGTTAACAATATCCCAGAATTGTTACAGTATAATAAAACCCCACATACACATGTGACTACTATTTCAAATACGTTATCAGTACCAAGGTGGTCTATAGAATAATAATGTTTACCATCACTTTTTAATACACCTGTTGAGATTAACTTCTATTTATTAGACGAGTTTAAAGATGCATCCAACTACTGCAGCATCTCAGGTAAATGTAAAAAAGAAAAACTATTTTTCTCTTTTTATGGGTCACCCTGCCTTGGTGAGAGACAGCCAGTTTAAAAAAAAATCAACTGTCTTCCAACAAGGTATGGTAAAAAAAAAAAAAAAAAAAAAAAAAAAAACCTCATTCATTCAATAGTCATCTTGCCAGAAGGGCACAGCCATTACAATTCAAATGACCCTCTGAGCTGTAACATCCCCATCCCTCCTTCAGAATACAGGCAATGTATGTCCCACCTCCAAGACTCAAGCTGGCTAACTGGTTTTCCTGAATCCTTTCATAACTGTTTACCTGCCTATACAGTGGACCCTCAGTTATCTGCCATAATCCATTAATAATAATAATAATAATAATTTATTTCTTTGTAAAGGTTACAATGTGTAATTACAGTTTTGATTTGCTAAGTACAAAGATAGCCACTATCATGCTGAGGCATTTCAGGCAAACTAATCCTAATACATAGTAACTAATTAAAACTAGATAAGATAATAGTACATAGTAATTATTACTTAAAACTAAACATAGAATAGCAGTTAGCTGTTTTACAATCTTATTTGGACTTAATAAATCTTATGTATACTAGTACAAAATCGAATTTACAAGGAATGGTGCAGGTGGCAATATTTTATGGAATGGCAGAATTAAAAGCCAGGAGGTCACATGATAAAACTAGTCAGTAGATGTTTGGTTGATTTGGTTAATATTGTGAGATAAGATGATTTTTTTTAGCAAAGTCCTAAATTTATAAGTTGTCTGGGGATCCTTGACCTGTTCCGGTAGCGAGTTCCAGATCTTTGGGCCTTTTATAAGCATAGCGTTCTTGCATAGTGAGAGTCTTACTCGAGGGATGTTGAAAAGGGCCTTATGCCTTGTATTGCGACTGTGCATTCTGTTGTAACTGTCGAGTAGTAGTTCTAGGGGAGGGTTTACAGTGGAGTTTAAAGTTCTGTATATGTAGTAGGCACAATAATAAGAGTGTATGTCTTGTATATTTAGCAAGTTGAGTCTTTTGAAAAGTGGTGGGGTGTGCTGTCTAGCACAGGAGCTGGTTATCACCTGCACAACAGCTTTTTGTTGGATTATTAAGGGTCTAAGGTGGTTGGCTGTGGTTGAGCCCCAGGCACAGATACCATAGGTGAGGTAAGGATATATTAGAGAGTGGTACAGGCTAAGGAGAGTTGTTTGTGGTACACAGTAGCATATCTTGGAAAAGATTCCTACTGATTTGGAAATTTTCTTGGCTATGTGAGGGGTATGGGACTGAAATTTAAGATGACAGTCAAGGAGAAGACCTAGAAATTTGCCCTCCGTGTGTCTTGATATAAGGGAACCATTTAACAGTATGTTGAGTTGAATATTTGAGGCTCTGTTGCCAAACAGCATGAAGTAAGCTTTGTCTATGTTGAGTGTGAGTTTGTTGATCATATATCTTTAGCAGTTCATTGTTTACAATGTTTTGAAGCACAGTTGGGTCTGAATGAGAGTAGACATATGTAGTGTCATCTGCGAATAGAACTGGTGTAAGGAGTTGGGATGCACTGGGGAGATCATTGATGTAGATGAGAAAGAGGAGTGGGCCTAGGACACTACCTTGGGGTACTCCTACAGCTACAGGTTGGATAGCGGAGTTGACTCCATTTGCATGTACATAATGGTGTCTGTCGTTAAGATAGGATTTTAGGTAGTCAAGAGAATGTCCTCTTATGCCATAATGATTCAGTCTGAGGTGCAAGAGATTGTGGTCAACTGTGTCAAACGCTTTTCTTAGGTCGATAAAGAGCCCCATGGGATATTCATTCTTATCGAGAGTGTGTATATAAGGTCAAGCATTTGTATAATAGCATCATTTGTGCTTTTTTTGGTCTAAATCCAAACTGGCATGAGTTAAGTATGTTGTTGGATGTAAGGTAGGGGTAAAGTAGCTTGTGTGTTACTTTTTCAAGTATCTTGGATAGTAAGGGCAAGTTTGATATGGGCCTGTAATTGTTCAAATCAGTTGGATCTCCACCTTTGTGGATTGGGGTGACCCTTGCTGTCTTGAGTATGGATGGGAAGGTTGAAGAAATTATAGATTTGTTAAACATTGTTGCAATAATGGGCAACAGTTCTGGTGCAGCTTTTTTATATATGAATGGCGGCAAGTTATCTAAATCACCTGATTTGTTTTTTTAATTGATTTAAATGATGTTGAGAATTCAGTGGAATTAGTTGGAGCTAGGAATAGATTATTTGGATAGTTGCCAGTGAGGTACTCACTCGGATGTGTATTTGAGCTAGGAATTTGACTTGCTAGCTTTGATCCTACATTAGAGAAGAAGACATTAAATTTGTTGGCCATGTCTAAAGGTTGCATGTGAGGTTCATCTGGTTTAGTTAAGTCTATCTCTCTATTTCCAGTCGGTTTCCTCGAGCCCAAAATTTTGGAGGGGGTTTGCCAGGTACTTTTCATGTCACCTTTCATTTCACTAAATCTATTTTCATAATACATTTGCTCTGATTTACATATCAGTTTTGTTAGTATTGATGTGCATCTTTTAGTAAATTCTTTAGTAATTAAGCCTAATCTGAACTGCTTTTCAAGTTGGTGTTTTTTATTAATAGATTTGAGGATACTTCTAGTTAACCAGGGGCTGTTTAGCCTCTTTTCTGAGATCTGTTTCATTTTGATTGGGCAATGTTTGTTGTAGAGGTTTAGGGTTTTATGTAAAACTTTTTTTATATCTTTATCGATATTATTACTGTCATCTAGCTCTCTCTGCCAATCAATGGCACCTAGAGCTAGTTTTAGGTTGTTTATCGATGTTTCATCATGCAGGTGAAATGAGATCTTGTTTCTTGAGGCAGTTTAGATAAGTTGGTTATGAGGAAGGTAGGATAGTGGTCTGTGGTGTTATCCGTGATTATACCTGCTTGTAGTGGGGATATTATGTTGGTCCAGATATGGTCGAGTAACGAGGCACTAGTATCAGAGATTCTTGTTGGCTTTGTTATAGTGGGTAGCAATAAGCTGTTGTTCATAGCATTTGTGAAATCAACTACTGGAGGGTCGGTTGTTTGGATAAGGTTGATGTTGAAATCTCCTGCTAGTATCAGATGGTGTTTATTCAACTCTGACTCAATTATCATGTTTCTAAGGTTATTGCTAAAAGTGTAAGTGTTTGAGTGTGGTAATCTGTAGACTGCACCAACTGCTATAGATTTCTTAAGTGTTCTTGATGTGAATTTAGCTATTATATATTCACCGTTTTCGTCCCATACATTAGTTGATTTCACAATCATCCTGATTGGTCGGGCCTACAGTTATGTATGGCTGTGTAACCAGGTATGGTAAATATGCCTGTCAGATCTAGTCTGAGCCAGGTTTCAATAAGTATAATGAAAGTTATAGTAGCATTTAGAGACTTAAGTAATGCAATGAGGTCATCATAGTGTTTACTCAATGATCTAACATTGTAGTTGAAGATTGTAATGTTCTTGCTGACACTGAGAAGGGTATTAGCCTGACTAGCAGTGTAGTAATGGCAATTACTGTTTGGACTATGTGTGCTGTTCAATAAGGGGTTGATATCAGGATCGATACTTACATTCATAAGGGGTACGTGGAGAAATAGCAGTTACAATTATTAAAGAACAAAAAGACCAAAGTAATGATGTTAAACCACTACCAATTATGAACTTATGAACTAAGATAGTTAATTTAGATCTAAAAAAATAATGGAGCTACTGAAAATTAAAATAAAACACTTTAGCACCTTGATTATTTCAAAGTTAAAAGTAATGGTTTCAAGTATAAAATAAAGCAGAGAATAAAACACTTAAGTACCTGGATTAGCACCTTGAATAGCACCTTAGGTGTCTTAAGTAGCTGGGAATTAATTACTGTTATTCACTAACAGCCATGAAAATATGGATTAGAATAAGGGTAAATTCTACTAAACTACAGCACTGAACATGGTTGATAATGTGTTGAGATATGGCTTAACAAGGTTCAGTCAAACCAGTGAATGAGAGGAAACATGCTAGTTCTTGATCATTTGTTATTTCAAACCTACGACCCGTGTCTGATAATTTTACCACAATAATGCCATCACCAGTAAAGTACTGTTTTATTGATGCATTATCACACTTAAGTTTTCGAAGTCTGTATAATAGGTTCTGACGTTTTTTAGTTAGGCACTCATTTATATACACATTACTCCGTTTCTTGATGGAGGAACTTATTAGATCATTTTTTACATCAATGGAATTGAATTTTAACCTAACACTTTGTTGTTGACCCGGCTTGCCTAGCAGTCAGGCATCCTTGATATCACTGGTTTTAATGAAGGTCAGCCTAAATCTGAAATGGCCGAAAACCAAAATAATATTTCCCATAAGAATTAATGTGAATAAAATTAATCCATTCCAGACACCCATAAATATTAACAAAAAATACATTTTTTAAAGATTAACTATAGTCTTACAAACACAAAGCAATGAGAGCTAAATCAAATAAATAAATGAACATTTCAATCACTCTTACATACCTTCAATGAAGACTTTTGTTGGCTTATGGAAGACAGGGAGGAGGAGAAAGGGAGGACTGATTATTGTTTGGAAGGGGAATCCCCTTCCATAAGAATTTCAGGTATCAAAGCCCTCTCTGGGGTTATGTCCCTTCTTTGTCTTTTACTGCCACTAGGGCCAGGTTAGGTCACTAGACCCATGTCACACAAAAAAAATGTCCAGATGTCAGCATAGTTGGGATCAGCAACTATGCTAACACAGAGAGCTCTGTTTCTGGCATCTCTAAGATTTGCCTGAAGTGGGACAAGGTTTTGTCACTGAACATGTTTCAAATATGGCTTGTTTGAGCTTGGTCAGGGTGATATTTTTCAACAAAAGGTTGCACCTCCCTCCATTTTGCACAAATGTCCTTAATCACTGAAGAAAGCACATTCTCCCCTCTCTTCCTCCTCCTCTGAGCCAATTTCCTCAGCTGTGGTCTGTTGCTGTTCCAGATGAAGCTCTTCCCTGTGGTCCTCCACCAACTCTTCCACATCCTCGCCACTCACCTCCAACCCCATGGACTTCCCCAAAGACAATAGATTCCATCCTGGCAAGCTCAAGCACATGTACACCACTCTCATACTTCTCAACAATTTCTTTCTTAAATTCCATTGTGTTTCTCACTTTCTTTACCAAAGGAACTTCACTAGGAACTTTCTTTGGGCCCTTGGTGGCTTATTTCACAGTTTCATTCAATCAATAACCAAAAAACCAATGGATTATAGCAAATTGTTTGGATGAATGCACGGAGGCTTTCTCACTCACCCAGAGACAGCCAGACTGACTCACGAACGTGGCAGAGCGATGGGTGGACGTGTCCAATACGGCCAATCTCCGAAATAACTGCCAATAACCAAAAAAGCAGGCAAAAATCGAACTGACCGATATCCAGGACAGCTGATAACCGAGGGTCTGCTGTACTCCAAAAGAATGTCAAACCCTAAAAACTACTCATCTCCACTCACTCCAACCTAACATGTCCATACATGCCTGGTAGATGCTCAAGTACATATTGTATCTCTTCTTTCATTATTACCATGTACACATACTCATTATAGGAAAACAATTTATAGACGGCATCATGATATAACAAAGAAAATATTTTTAAACATGTGAATACAAATAAATGAAGAGTTTTAAAATTTTCAATTAGCTATTTATATTTGAAACTTACAAGAAAATTATTATGATTATTATAATATTAATGGAAACACAAAGCCCATATGGATCTTACAGTGCCTGGAGAATGAAAAGTAATCAGGTTTGATCAATGAAAGTAAAGGGTAGTTTCAATTACATGATTCAAGAGTCCTTCACCACTATCCCAGCATCTCACTTAAAGGGCGGGAGGACACCGCCTGCCTTTGCAGTAGTAAATTGAACACAATAATGAAGTGTCTGACCCTTCCTTATCCAACAATTAAGGAATAGGGAGATTATATGATCTATTATGCTTTTGCCAAGAACTTTTGCCAAAGCCTCATAAATGCTGTGAAAAAATAACAACCAAAACATTAATAATGATTAAAAATAAATAAATAAAAATAATTAAACAATTAGTACATACTTTGTTTACTTGACTTTCTTACCTAGGAAAATGATTGACCTTTTGCCAGTCTTGGAGTTGTCGAATCTCATTTGGGTTGAAGTGGGCATTTCCCCAGTACAAGCTGAAGAAAGAACTACTGCTCTCTACTTCAGTAAAGCCGTGGGCCTCCATCAACATGCGGATGAGCTTGGAATCCGACTAAAAGAAAAACAAAGATTACTACTTCATTGCAAAAATTTATAAGGAAAAAAAAAAAAAAGATGCATTAGCTATGCAGTAATCAACACAAAACATTCAATAAACATTACACTGTGTAATTCACCATAAGCAATACATACTGGCAATATCTAATACAGGGGGGGCCTGTTTACAGTGCTTCACTTACATGGTTTCATTGGGGGGGTTTTCAATTAACCCTGTGGCATGAAAAGGTAGTAACCCTTTTTTTCAGCGCAGTACACACCCTCATTTCGGCTATTCCCCCCCCACAAACCCAGGTGCTGAGGGTTTGACTTTTTGGGGCCCCCGTATTAAACCAGTCCCGGGGCCCCAGCCCAATAGAAGTTGGGTTTTGGCAATCGCAAGGTTATGGGGGGTCCCACTCTCCTGTCTGCTCTTCTTCCCATTTTGAGGGGTTTTTGAACCCGGGGGCCCTGCTCTCTTGGCTTTATTCTGCTTGTTTCCCCGGGGAGTGCCTAATCCCTATCGCTGTATGTGTAGTGTACAAACTTTTTTCTAAATTGGTAAAGGATAATAAAAGCAAAGTTCTTCTGTGTTTTTTGCTCCCTTTACACCCAGGTAAAAGGTTTTTTGGGACCCCTGGGTTGTAAATGGGTACCCTGTCCGAGAGTGGAGCTGGATTAGAAAAAGGGTTGACCCTTGGGGTGAAGCTGGAAGCAGGACATGTGTAGCTTCTGTCTGGACTGCATTTAGCTTTGCCAATGCTTTACAAACTTTGGGTCAGTTGCTTTGCTTGGTCAGTTGCTATTTATGACGCTCAACGGGTCGCTACTGCTTGTTCGGTGTGAAATTTTGCAGTCAGTTTTTATTGCGTTCCACCTTTTTAAACTATGCGTATTCTGCAATCGTACTGTGCATAGCAAAACATGTAAACTTTACATTTTGGTATGCCACCTAGACGGTCAGAAAGTCTGGGGTTTACTATACAGGGACCCCCGCTACTGTTTGGGCCCTTTCAAAAGTTTTTCTGCATACCCTACATTTTATCGCAAAGATTTTGCCCCGCATACCCCCTAAAAAAACCCCCCTCAACCCCGTTCGTCTGAGAGCCTCATGTGCCCCTGAGCCAGCTCACATGTTCCGCCGGGGGCATTGGGTTTATCACCAGCCTCCGCTTAACATCCGGGGAAAAAAATACAATCGGAACTTTTAGTATTTTTAACAGTGTTTTGGGTGTTTTTTTTATCTGCAAAATAAGTGACCAGGGCCCCCCAAGAAAGCTTCTAGTGCCAACCCTACGGGGCAAAAAGGGTGAGAATTACTAAGAGATAAAAGAAAAAGATAAATGATAAGTATGAAATGGAGTGCATGTTTTCCGAGCGGGCCGGGTTTGGGAAAAATTTAAACCCCAACCCCAACCATCGCTACTATTGGGGGAAACAGTTTGGCTACTGCTTTTACCACCGTCAGTTTTGCTGCTGCCTGTTTTTTTTTGAGGGCTGCTGCTCACTGTCAGCCTGCTGCTGGGGCTGTAGAAAGCACTGTCAGCTGCTGCCTGCTTTTTTGTAGCCCCGGCCCCACTGCGGGCGCGCTGAAAACCCACCGCACTGCTGCTCCCTGTCCCAATCGCCCAGCTGTTTTGCTGCTGCTGTAGAAACCTTTTGCTGCTGCGGTACCTCGTCGGCCTGCTGCTGTAAAAATCGCCTGCTGCGCTGAAGCATCGTCTGCTGCTGCTGTGAAACGTCAGCTGCGCTGCTTTTTTACCACCGCACGCTGCTCCTGCTGCTGTAAAACCGCCCCTTGCTGCTGACATCGTCTGCTGCTGCTGTAGCATCGTCGCTGCGCGTACATCGTCTGCTGCTGCTTTTTAAGCACGTCACTGCTGCGGGCTGTTGTCCCCCAACCGTCAGCTGCTGCGGCTGCTTAGTACCCGTCCCCTGCTGCTGAAAGCATTGCCCTGCTGCGCTGTAGCACGGGTCAGCGCTCCCGCTGTACAGGGTTGTTGGGTGGGGCTTATTAGAAAACCAAGAAACAATTAACCCCAGAGGATTTGGGCCACCCGGGAAAACCCCAAAAAAGGGAAAGTGTAAACGAAAAACTGCCCCCTAACTTATTTCCATTGGGGTCCTTAATTTTGGGCCCCCCAGATGAAACCCACACCATTTCGCCCTAAAAACCCCCAGGTGAACGGGGAAAAAATTGCCGGGAAAATTTAGTGCTCATTTTGGTAAATTTTAAAAAACCCCCAAGCAAATTTGGTTTTAGAGTTTTAAAGAATCCCAGGGGCCCTACACAGTTTTGTTTGGGCCTGTTCGGAAAAAAATCCCAAACAGACCTACAGAAACTCAGGGGGAAAAAGGCACTCCCGGGACACAGTGTCTAAACATCATTGCGGCTTTTCAATAAAGGTAAGTGTCATTTATTTTTCCCTTTTAGTAAAAAAGTACATGCACAAAATCCCGGCATGTACTACTCCTACATTGTGAAAGTATCCTTCTTTTTTGTGGAAGGAAAATGTATTTTTTCTTTGTGGTAAAATTTTTTTTTCATCCCTTTTGGGTGTCTTGAAAACGGTTTAAAATTTGATTTCCATTATTTTTTTTGGGGAAAATACTTTTCGCATAACGAAAATTTCGCAAAACCCTAGTTTCTTTTGCCCGGGAATTAAAATCGCAATGGGGGGGGTCCACTGTCCCCTTTGTTTAACCTCCCAAAATTTAATCCCCAAAAATTTGCTTGCTCCTTTGGGCCAATTAAATTATAAACCACCTCGAGCTGCAAAAACGCTTTTCCGCTGTTTCACCGGACAAACTTCGGAAGAAGAGATGGGCATCAAACTCCCCCTCTACAGGAACCAGGAATAAAACTTCTATGTTCCCCCGCAAAAGGGAAAAGATATAAAACAACGGAGCAAAATCGTCAGTCACGCACCCGGGTTTGGTCCCCAAGGTAACAGCGGCTTGGCACTTGGCGGGAAAAAATAAACTTGAGCAGACAAGGGAACAGAGGGGCATTTGCCAAAGAAGAATTTAGGGGGAAAAAAGAAAGGAGGCTTTTTTCGAATCTTGTAAATGATTTTTATTTTAAAAAAAAAGGCAGTACAGCTTTTTTTCCCCGTTTCAATAAAGGCCCCCAAAACCAAAAATTTTTTTTTTTTCGAAGTTTTCCCAAAAAATCAGGCACAAGCCTTGGGTGGTCGGAACAGGCTTTGGGGCATAAATTGGTTCACCCCGCATTTTTTTGGAAGGGAAACGGGAATTTTAAACATCAGTGTTAAATAAACACTAAATTTTCCCCAAATTATAAAGTAGTAAAACCACATTTTTGGGGAGCATTCCTTTTGCATCCCAAAGCTAATCCAAAAAATTTTTTTAAATTTAAAGGCAGGCGACAGCTTGGTCAACCCCCGGGTTATTTTGTGCAAAAAACAGACCAAAGTTTTTTAACCGCGGGAAAAAAGAAAGTGGTTTTCCCTCCCCCCTTTTCCCAAGGATCTTGTGTAGTTTATTCGATTGACCCCCTTTGCGGGAGTCTGGGGGGAAACCAGGGGTTCGAGCCCTTTCTGCGGGATCGTAAACTTAACCACTGCATTGGGGGCACCCGGGTTTTGGGCTGATACCTTTGAATCAAACCCCGCTCCTTGTCTAGCAGTTCCATCTCTCTTTTAAACCGCCTGGGAAGGGGCAGAGATCATCAAACCTTGGAGAATGAAGTGCCAGCCAGAGGAGAACACCCTACGTCACCCCAAACTAAGCCCACCGGGTTTAAACCCGGGAGTTTCCCGGGAGAGGGGTTCCGGGGTCAACGCCCCCGGGGCCCCCGTCTGTGACCGGGCCTCCTGGGGATCAGAGCCTGATCAACCAGGCTGTTGCTGCTGGCTGCACGCAAACCAACGTACGAGCCACAGCCGGCTGATCCGGAACTGACTTTAGGTGCTTGTCCAGTGCCAGCTTGAAGACTGCCAGGGGTCTGTTGGTAATCCCCCTTATGTGTGCTGGGAGGCAGTTGAACAGTCTCGGGCCCCTGACACTTATTGTATGGTCTCTTAACGTGCTAGTGACACCCCTGCTTTTCATTGGGGGGATGGTGCATCGTCTGCCAAGTCTTTGCTTTCGTAGCGAGTGATTTTCGTGTGCAAGTTCGGTACTAGTCCCTCTAGGATTTTCCAGGTGTATATAATCATGTATCTCTCCTCCTGCGTTCCAGGGAATACAGGTTTAGGAACCTCAAGCGCTCCCAATAATTGAGGTGTTTTATCTCCGTTATGCGCGCCGTGAAGTTCTCTGTACATTTTCTAGGTCGGCAATTTCACCTGCCTTGAAAGGTGCTGTTAGTGTGCAGCAATATTCCAGCCTAGATAGAACAAGTGACCTGAAGAGTGTCATCATGGGCTTGGCCTCCCTAGTTTTTAAGGTTCTCATTATCCATCCTGTCATTTTTCTAGCAGATGCGATGATACAATGTTATGGTCCTTGAAGGTGAGATCCTCCGACATGATCACTCCCAGGTCTTTGACGTTGGTGTTTCGCTCTATTTTGTGGCAGAATTTGTTTTGTACTCTGATGAAGATTTAATTTCCTCATGTTTACCATATCTGAGTAATTGAAATTTCTCATCGTTGAACTTCATATTGTTTTCTGCAGCCCACTGAAAGATTTGGTTGATGTCTGCCCGGAGCTTTGCAGTGTCTGCAATGCGAAGACACTGTCATGCAGATTCGGGTGTCATCTGCAAAGGAAGACACGGTGCTGTGGCTGACATCCTTGTCTATGTCGGATATAAGGATGAGGAACAAGATGGGAGCGAGTACTGTGCCTTGTGGAACAGAGCTTTTCACCGTAGCTGCCTCGGACTTTACTCTGTTGACGACTACTCTCTGTGTTCTGTTAGTGAGGAAATTATAGATCCATCGACCGACTTTTCCTGTTATTCCTTTAGCACGCATTTTGTGCGCTATTACGCCATAGTCACACTTGTCGAAGGCTTTTGCAAAGTCTGTATATATTACATCTGCATTC